TTAGGGAGCAATCTGTAGCAAATGAAAGACCCTGGAAATTCCACCTTTTTAGATAAGTATATTGTGGAGTAAGGACAGGAAATTACTTGCAGTTTTAAATTACTTGATTCACAGTAGATGAACCAATGGCAAGTTTACTCTCTCTACAAGGAAGGTCTCTGTTTTTTGATGAAAAAGTTAGTTGGTTGGCCTGGTGAGTTTTATTCCTGTTTCATTTTTGGTGTTTAAAATGTTGGTTGTTATTTATTGCAAAAAGGGAACAAAAGAAAAATCTGTTGGGGAAAAGGTGGAATGCCATGTAACTATAGCTCTTGGGGAACAGATGGTCTAATCATTTGCACTTAAAATATTTTATCACATTAGTGGGTAATTAGATGCTAGAATTATCAGATTTGAGTTGTGTGTGTCAAAAGTTGTGCGTGTATAACATCCTGTGCTTCTTAGGGCTTTATCACTAGAGTTGCATCTTTCTTGATTTCCAGATTAAGAAACTATTTTAAACGGTTTTGGTGTTACCAGTTACATTTTTAAATGATTGCAAAATGATGCCTTAACCTTTTTGTTGCAAGTAAAATGAATGCACAAGTGAAATGTGAAAATATGCCATTGAGAAATATTAGTAAGAACACTTTGAATCAAGATTTTAGTCTCTAAAAATAGCATTCAGACAGTTGGAAAATTGCTCCATTTTTTGTGCTCAAGGGTATGATTGGACCTCATTTACAAATTACTAATCCTGCTCAAAACACCTCTTTCTGAATCAATGGCATTATATTCAAACAGAATATGTTATATTTAATAATCTTTAGGATTGTATGACAAATTGAGGTATGTGAGTTCAAAGACAACTTTTTGGATCAGCTAATTTTGGGTGACTTGTATTTTATTCTATATGTAAAATTTAGCCACAGCTTGTATAGGATGTATATCTATAAATTAGTTTTTACATATGATACTTTTTAATATTTTTTCATACCATTTTTTTTCTAGCAAGTAATTAATTAGTTTAAATCAGTATAGATGTTAAGATTATTGAAAAAGTATTAGTAAATTGGCCTAAAAAGACCTTGTACATAATTGGCAGACAAGGTTCCTTGGGTGAATCTGATATCTTTTATTAGACCGACCCAAATGGTTGAAGAGTAGTTATTAAGCAAGCTTTCGGGTTCAAAAACCGTTGCTTAATAACTATTCTCCAACCATTTGGGTTGGTCTAATAAAAGATATCAGATTCACCCAAGGAACCTTGTCTGCCTATGTCCTTAGACCAACACGGCTACAACCTACACCCCTGTACATAATTGGTTTTTCCTTCCTCATTTGGCAGAAATATATTTAAAAACATGTAGGGTATCTATTTAGCTCTGTCTTAAACTGACAGTTTTCAAGGTTTCTCTCAGAAGGATCTTCTGGTCCTACTTCTAGCTCTGTTTTTACTTTCATCTACCTTTTAGACTTCTGAGTTGCCAGTGGTCCAATATAATTGTCCTGTCAATGTGACTAGCTAATATACCTCCATTCAGGCCCTAGATTTGTCAGAGGCAAATTGGTAGTTGCCACCTTACTTTAATAGTAACTTCCAAATACATGGATGCCAGCTATCATCACTTTTGCTCATTTATAAACTTAAAATGTAGTAGAACAAACAAGGAGCTGGGTTTCTTGTGGCTGTATGAGAAATGGAATTGCTGTTCTTTAGTACTCCCTTCCCTGATTCCTGTCTATTTTTATTTCCTGTAAGCTTACAAAAACTGAACTGCCAGACAAATCACACAGTGTATGTGCTGCCTATGCATTTGTGTCCATCCACAGGTTCAAACAGTTACAGATTTGGAGTTATCTGTGCCATGTATTTTACAGATAAATCTATTTGTACACAAAAATTGCCAAACTTGAATGAAGATGATAAAACATCTAAGATTCCAAAATGATGCATTTCCCAGTATAGGCTTATTTAAGTGTAGTGTCATTTGGGGTTAGTATTTACAAGAGCGGGTATTGGGAGGTGAGAATAAGAGATTTGAGTGTCTTACGCATCTTGGCTGTTCAGTTTCCCAAACGCCTATTTATTTTATCCTCAGAAAAATAAACATGAATAGTTCTTCTCACCCCAACACCTGCTGCTAACACCTTCAAGCTTCTCTTAACTTTTTGTTCCTACTTCACTTGTTTACATAATACAGTCACTGTTTTGTTTCTTTTAATTAACATTTTTGAGTACCTTCCACAATTATAGTTATGTATTATTTCGTTAACTCTTTTGCACTCAACTTGCACAAATTCCCATTTTATATAGACATTTCTCATCCTTCCATATTTTGGAACAGAGCTGTCATGCAAGCCATATAACAGATAAATGTGGTGATAAGGCCTCATCCATCTAACTTACATCTCTAAGCATGAGTAATTATTTAGAGGTAATGTTTAAAATAACAATAGTTAATAGAAGAAAGTGTCATTTGCCACTTACAGCTGGGTGTGCCACTTACAGCTGGGTGTCAATATCTAAGGTTGTTTTATGATTGAATTAAGTGAAAAATGGAACATTTTATCTTTGAAAGTAAATGTGTTACTTAAACGCACTTCTTTCCTCCTTCACCCATATTATTGTATACAGTCAATATAGACAGAACTAAGAATTGGGAGGATCTGAAGAACAGGATGAACTAAAGGAAGATCTTTTTCTGCTATGAGCCAGTGTTACTCTTTGTCTTGTACAATAGGTTTAATGAAATTCTGTCTTGATACTACTTAATAACTCAGTATTGTATGACTAGGTGCTACTCCCAACCCCCAACTTCTGTCAAGGGGGAAAAGATCACTAACTCAAAAATGACTCTCTCTTGCTCATCTCTTGCCTCCTGGGGGTGGTGATTTTTAACACACCCTGTGAAGCTTTCCTGAGTTCCTTTTTTTGACCATAGGAAAGAGGGAGCAGAATGGTTTATGGTTCCGTAGAGATTATATAGGAAGTCATTTTGTTATGTTGGAAAGCTTTTTGAATTTTTATTATTGAAGATATTTCTTTTGACTCCAGGACATTGGAGTTGGGACTTTCTATAAATGAAGAAAGCTCTGTTTTAAAGCCTGGATGGATATTCTATTACAAATGAGTCAAAAAAGAGAGAGGAAGTATCTCATAGTTGCAAATATAAAAAGAACCCAGTAGTCAGACAACTAGTACACACAAGAAAAGCATGCTTGGTTTATAGAGCAAGTAAATAATGGTACCTTTCTTTTTTATCAAGATAGTACTCAGTGAGGTGCTGTCTGGTTGGAAGGAAAGAATGAAAGGCATTGAATCAGCTATTAGGTAGAAGAGCAAAAAAGTCCTG